CTCATTAAGGGTTTAGCTCCGACATTGAAAAGAAAGAGTAATTCATATAGACTTGAAATTGGTTAACATGATACAGCACACAAATATTTGAAGTACGTGGTGTAAATAGTATGTAGGTAGACATTTTTTCTTTTTTTTTTAATAGTACGTGGTTTATTTCTACACTGTTGTACAAGAATCACTCTCAATATGATAGCTTTTGCTTTTGCTTTTGTTGCTGTTGTCTGACAAAGTGAAAAAGAGGAAAAAGAGAAATATGCTAAAGTAATGTAGAATCCTAAAGCATAGACAAGGAACAAATTATTGGTTATAAGAACAAATGATTGGGGAATATACATTTATTCTGGAGTTGCTCTTGTTTAAGCAAGTTAACTAATGAATCGAGAAATCATAAATGAAAAAAAGACTAACAATATCAAATCTCATTTAATTTCTCGCGTTCATTGTACAAAAGGCGTTTATATAGAGAATGTACATTAATTGTCGTTAGATGAGTTTAATTTTGTAAATTCATGTAACAAAATGCTTTAATTAAGGTGGTGATCCTCCCTTAAAAAAATTAAGTTGGTGACCGAAATGCTCTAATAATTCTCATGTAGTTTCTAGCCCAACCAGTTTGTACGGTTGTATCAAATACACAAAAAATTGTAATGTTTTATTTTTCCGACATTGAAAAGAAAGAGTAATTCATATAGACTTGAAATTGGTTAACACGATTACCGCACACAAATATTTGAAGAACCAACCAACTGGTTCTTCTAATGATACAAAACATCCCAAGTTCGAATCCACTTTCTTAGTAAAACCGAAAAAAAAGAAGAAGGGAGAATCAAAAGCACACAAACGTACACAGAAATTAAACTGACGCTGATTGAGTAGGGCAATAAATATTAAGAAGCAGAAAGAAACAAAAGACACCAGTAGTAGTAGTAGCAGCCAATTATTTGGTGTTGGGGGGTGGATGTTTGTAGCAACCCCTATTGGTGTTTGGGGGACTGCAGTGCTCTGATTTGGGTGTGATGTTTGGCTTGCCATGGCAGCTTTTATCCCCTTGTCGGTTACATAGACTTTGGACAGCAATCAACGACTGTTCAGCTGTAGAATCATCAATTGTCTGGAGGAGCCTTATGCTGAATTCCGAGTCCAGCATGAACTCCAAATCAAAGTCCAACTCCGAGTGTGCAATCCGGCACGCCGTGTCGATAAGGCCGTTGCACCGGGAGGCAGAGTAGCCACCGGTGACGACGCTGGTGTTGATGTGGATGCCAATGCCATGGCTTGTGGTGAGCAGAGCCATGGCCATCATCACCATCATCAGCTTCATAGCTCCTCCTGAGTGACTCATCTTTCGTTTGTTTTTTTAAATCTTTTTCTGCTGCATGCAGTCCTCAAAGCCACTATAGATATTATATAGAATAAGTACTTGGCTCTTTACTCTTCATACAAAGCACAGCTAGGCTCCATAAACTTTTCTTTTTGCGCTATTATTGATTAATAATATATATATGCTTTACGGTAAAGAGAAAATATGGCTCGTCACATATAAAGTAAAGGTATCCCACAAATAATTATATATATATACATAGACCATGAGATTCACGACTCAGTCAGTAGCTAGCCTAGCATCCAATCCAAGCACTGGGCTTGCGGTCCCTGCGCATTTGTGTTTTAATTAAAGGTTACTACTTTAATTCATTCAAGAATTTATGAGCCAAAACTTGAGAAAGTTTTGAAATTCCCCATTTTGCTTCATTAAGAATTAGAAAATTAAAGAAAAAAAAATAAACATCTGTATATGTTGGATGATATGATTTTGATCAGAGTGATGCTCGTTACATCCACGTGTTCTAAAGTCACGTCCGTCGACAACAAGTTTACTATTTTACAAAAAAGATCTGTAAGGACCCACTCACCTTCCTACTTTCATTCATGTAAACTCGTTAAACCCTAGAATTATCATTCAATTCCTAGGATTGCTGCAGAAAAATTCCCCATGATGCAACGTTTTATTCCCATCCTTGCCTCATCAAATTGTGAGACTTATGCGTGGTGGGCCCGACCCCCAAAATGGTTTCCATGTCATGGCTGATGGGGCTCAACGGGTTTCTTTCCTTGATTTCAATGGCAGTCTATGTCGGCATACTGTAAAGCATATTCACAATTACAAGTCTCTCTCCCCGCCATCAAAAGTGCTAGGTCAGCTAAATTCATCCAAAACAAAGAAAAAAACATTAAATGTTACCCAGGAAAAAAACTACTCTTAATAATTTTTCCATTTTTACAAGACAACTAAATTGTTAAACTTTTAATAATTTGGACTTCACCGAAAGTTATTTTTGGCCTTTGTAGTTTGCCTATTTTTCACTTTTAGTGGTTTCGACTTGGTCAATTGTGCCCTTATAATTTTATAATTGTAGTCATTTAAGGATAAGTCATGAATTCCGTTAATTTCTTTCACACTGTCAGGAGTATTGCCGTCCATTTCTGCCATTTAAATGTTATAGCCAAAGTAAAAGACTTTAGGCCTTCTCCAACATATTTGGGCTAAACCCAAAATTTTCCCTCCGAAAAGTAACTATTTGGATTTTACTTGGACTCAAACTGTTTTTTCTCGCAACCCTCCAGACTCAAATTTTAAATTTGCAACTTTATTAAATTGTTTAAGAATGGTTTGAGTCTAATTGACTTTTTATGGATAACTTTTCTTCATTTAATCTTTTTAAATAACTTCTTAGTTTAATTTATTTTTTTTGAACAATTTGACCTAAAAAATTAAAATTCCACAAATATAATTTTATTCCAAAAGGATGAAAGGAGATTGATGAAATTGAAAAAGGAAAAATAAACTAAGAAATAAAAAAAATATTTTTGATAGATTATTTGATAAATGGGTGGGTATTTATAGAGTTTGGAGTGAGTTTTGGGGTTTGATATGATTTAGATTAATTTTAAATATTATTTTGACCGTTAGATTTAAATTTCAACAGTTGGATTTTTTTATACCATTAAAATAACTTGGATTTAATATGGATCGTTGATTTGGGTTACTGTTGGAATTAAAAAAAGAGGGGGTATTTGAATTGTGCCATTGGATTCCAACAACAAACTCGCGAGTGACCTAAAAAGATCTGCAGCAATAGCAGCACATGCCCTAATCACACCTCCTTGCACATGGGCTGCATCAGCCTTGAGTGGGCTCCATTGAAAACAATTCCAGTCCAGGCAATAGCTGGACTGGTATTTGGCCCTAAGTTTGAGTTTTTCCAAATTTTGGTCCTTTACTTTTCTTCAGTTAGGAGAGAATTTGGGCTATATATTTTGAGTTTGGCCATGGGTTGGGGATAGCCTTAGAAAACACAATTGTTGAATCAAACGTCCATTTACATTATTTCCATATAATTTGCATGGTTATAAGCATTGTTGCAATATCATTGTTGGATAAACAACTGAATTATGCATGGTATAATTGACTGTTGGCAGCTTAACAAATAGAAACATTAAGAACATGAAATGGGGAGTTTCATCTTGGCTATAACATTTAAATAATATAAATGGACGGAAATATCCTTGATGGCGTGAAAGAAATTGATAGAATTCGTTAATTGTCCTTAAATTGCTACAATTATGAAACTATAAGGATATAATTGACCAAATTGAAACTACAGAGACTAAAAGTGAAAAATAGGCAAATTATAGGACCAAAAATGACTTTTGGCCTTTGAACTATATATTAAAATTAGAAATTGGAATTTATATGATTTCGATCGAGAGTTTAAAACACAACATATCAAATGATTTACATATTAGATTGTCTCGCAATTCTCTCTGGGGATATACATATGAACCAGTGGCGGACCTATTAAGGCGCAAGGAGGTGCATCTGCACCTCTCCTCACTGGAAAAATCATTATAGGTGCTGCATATTGCACCTCTACTCAGCTTGGAAGGTGCACTCTAGGTGTTTGACGAAAAGCCTAAACGAAGTCAATATGCTACTGCACTGCGCTTGTTTTTTTGTTTTTATTTTATAAATCTTGACCAAAACTGTACCTCTGTTAAAAAAAATTCCTAAGTTTGCTTGTGAACTATGTCGTCTTCCGTACTGTCATGCCATAAAATAACTTCATAGAAAATTATATTCAGGATCAACTTGGAAGGAGAGGCATGCTTGAAGTGAACTTCAAGATAAAAAGACACCTTTAATTAAGAAACTATACTTTGACAAATATATTACTTCTATCTAATAATTACCATCAATTAAATAGTGATCCACTGTGCTTATTATACACTAAACTGTAATTGCGAACAACTTTTGTAGCTTGGGCCATCTTTGTTCAATACATATGAACGAAGGGTGTTTCCTAAGATCTTCCTAACACCCAAAATAAAATCACAGCCCATGTGCCTCAAATCAAAACTAGTACTAGGTGGGAAACTTGAGATGCTTAACATAAGGGGTTAATCTAGTGCAGAAGCACCTAACTTTGCCTTGTAATTCCAATTCAAGGAAATTCTATTCAAAAGTCTCAAATCTCAATCTTTGATTTTGACCCCTCTCTCTGGTTTGCCAGTGTCAACAAAACCTATCATGGTCAATCAATAAAAAATCAGCTCAAGTTGTGAGAATCAAATATTTCTCATCTTATATACATGCTTATCCACAAATTCATACTTTTCTGCTTCTGACTTGAGAAATTGATGAATTAATAACACTGCAAACACATTTAGACTGAAACAAAGAAAATAGCATAAACTTGGATCTAATGACTTTTTGATAATTTAATACCACAGAATTCAACAAGGAAAGAAAAATCACTATCACATTTGAAAGATGAGAAAGACGCTTTCCACAATAATATTCTACATCAAGTAAATAAATATGGCTAGGAAGGTAGCCGACAAACGCAAGTAACAGAATTCCACTCATTCAGAAAGAAAAAAATTCTTCAGAAGAATGTCAAAGTTGGTGAGGCTTACAAAATTGAAGTTGGACTTCATAATTTACTATAAATACACTAACCATTTAGCTATAGCTTCATGCAGTATCACCAACTTGCAATAACATTCTAGCAAGAAAACTAGCTCTCATTTCATTTTGCTTGTGTGGACCTATAATGGCTTTCTCTCTGTGGTCTCAACTTTCCCTTTTCATTGTCTTGCTTGTAGTACAAACTCCAGGGGAGGCTGCAACATGCAGTGACTGTTTCGTTCATTCTCGGGCAAGTTATTATCCGAATTCTGAAGCGCAAGGAACAGATAGTAAGAGACTTTTATTTAAAGAAAACAAAATGAACAGTAGATTTCTATGTTGCAGGCATGCTATGTATGTGGTAGTGGATTTATGTGTACGCTTAGTACTAATTAATATTTTTTGTTATGAACTATAGTAGGTGCTTGTGGTTTTGGTTCATTTGGGGCAACCATCAATGGAGGGGATGTCTCAGCTGCCTCTGACCTCTATCGCAATGGCGTCGGATGCGGTGCTTGTTACCAGGTGAGCATGCACTCCTAAAGCATGAAAATATGTGTTTGTGTGTGTGTTAGTGTTGAGTGTTTGTGATCAATTAATTTTTTTGCCTCATGATTTACTAGGTGAGGTGCACCAACAGCCGCTATTGCTCAGACAAAGGAGCAACTGTGGTTATAACTGACCAAGGCTCCGGTCACAACACGGACTTCATCCTTAGCAAACGAGCCTTTAGCCGGATGGCTCAAACTACTGATGCAGCTGCTTCTCTGCTGTCCCTTGGGGTAGTCGATATTGAATACCGACGGTAAGACCCTAGGAACTTTGAGGAAGAAATAAGCCATTTTCATAGTTACACAGAGGAGGTGGTAACACTTCTGTTCAATAGTTACACAGAGAAGATTGTCCCAACAGAACAATCTGTGTAATTGAAACACACACAAACACATGGTTTCCTTCATCTATAACTGACCAAGGCTCCGGTCACAACACGGACTTCATCCTTAGCAAACGAGCCTTTAGCCGGATGGCTCAAACTACTGATGCAGCTGCTTCTCTGCTGTCCCTTGGGGTAGTCGATATTGAATACCGACGGTAAGACCCTAGGAACTTTGAGGAAGAAATAAGCCATTTTCATAGTTACACAGAGGATGCGGTAACACTTCTGATCAATAGTTACACAGAGAAGATTGTCCCAACAGAACAATCTGTATAATTGAAACACACACAAACACATGGTTTCCTTTATATATATATATATGTAGCTATTCATTTATGACAAACTTTGATGACTAGAAACTAACTAAGTAACTCTCTCTGTCTCTCTCTCTTCCCAAAACAGGGTTTCATGCAGCTACCCAGGAAAAAATATTACAATCAAGATTGATGAGAACAGTAATTATCCTCACTATTTGGCTTTTGTAATATATTACCAGCAAGGGAAGAACGATATCACAGCTGTCCAGCTATGTGAGGTATATTTTCTCCTCACTATTAAACTTGTGGAGATGAGTCAAAATTGGAGGCCACATCATGCTATAACAAATTAAAATCAGTACTTGTAGTAGCTTCAACCAGGAAAGCAATTAAACAAAGACGAAAAAGTTCTTACTCTGATCAATTACCAAATGAAATTAGAGAGCTCAGAGCTGCATATGAATCCAAGTCATATGTTCTTATCTTTTAGCTACCAACTTTACTTGCTTTATTCTTATTCTGTCATCTTCATCATCACATAATTAAAAATTCTTTTTTTCAAAATGTGCAGACACAAAATTTTTCCTGCAAACTATTGGACAGGAGTTATGGAGCAGTTTGGACAACTACCTCACCCCCAAGTGGACCCTTGCAGGTAAGGATGCTGTTCAGTGATGAAGATGGTGATGAGAATTGGGTTGTTCCTGAGAATAACATACCACAAGACTGGAAAGTTGGACAAACATATGACTCAGGAGTTCAAGTGAACTAATTATAGATAGACATGCAAATGCAGCAGATCAAATATTCTAATGTTTTTCTTTTGCAAATAGGAATATGCTTGAATAAGAGGATTGGTTGGCAGAATTCCTTCATGTAATCATCACAGTGTTCACCCAAATTCTATAAATTATCAATTTTTTATTATATTTTTGTGTGAGTTATGTTCAGTATCAATACAATAAGAGTTCCTGCTACCCTTAATGATCACACAAGTTTCTTAATGAAGGCTTCTTTTATTTTTTTATTAATATTATGACTGCGACTGGATTCCTCACTTTTTAAGGCATCGGAAGGCTATTGGGTGACATAATTGGCATAATTGGCATAATTGGCAAACCTCAGATGCCCCACAGAGACTTCTGAGAGCAAAGAGTTGGTGCATCAATTACTCCACTCTGAGGATATTCTATCAAATAACAAAGAAATCCGTGTGGAAATTTGAGTTTTCCTACGAAGAAAGTTTTAGTAAAACATTATAAATTAAATACAAGAGAACACTACCACCACCCAAAAAAAAACACCATCAATGATCTCCTGGTGTGTTTAATATGGATTCAAAACGTAAAATAAACTACAAAAATTTGCATCAAACGAACCTCTTTCACTGTTAGAAGAGGCCCCAAGTTCGAATCCCCCTCTGGAATTGATCAAATGAAGCTCTTTTAACTGTATATACACATATTTCTACCCATCTTATGATTCTGACCAATAGTCCCAAATACAAGTGATAGCATCTCATCCACTTGTGGAAGTAATTTATCTCCTGAGAGGAAGACATTAACTCTTCCTTGCAGCACAATCCAACTGCATCCAGGAACCTTTCTCACTCCTTTCAATCCCATCTCCCTTCTCAGCAATTTTTCCTCAATATGCTGACCATTAGCGGCATATATGTTACAAAGCACCACATGGGCAGGTGCATTTAAAGGATCCAGCTCCAGGAGTTGTTTGGCTGCAGACCTAGCAACCTCAGCATTCGTTTCACCAAACCCGCATACACCAAGCAATGCCCCCCAAACAGCATGATCTGATTTGAAAGGTAGCCTTGAAACGAATTCTTCTGCTTCTTTTACCTTCCCAGCTCTGCCCAGAAGATTAACCATACAAACATAATGCTCCAAAGCTGGTTGAATTGCATAAATATTACTCATGGCATTGAAAAACTCCCACCCTCTATGGACAAGCCCTGCATGGCTACATGCTGATAGTATGCCCAAAAAAGTGACAGAATTTGGGCGGGTCCCAGATTTCACCATGGATTCAAAGATCTTCAGAGTCTCATTCGCATGTCCATGGTCTGAGAACCCCATGATCATGGAATTCCATGAAATCAAATCCCGCAAACTCATGTTTGAGAATGCAATGTAAGCATCATCTATCTCCCCACATTTCGCATACATGGAAATCAGTGAGTTGTTAATAAACAAGTCAGATTCATATTGTGTTTTTATCAGCAGGCCGTGGAACTGTCTCCCAGGATCAAGATATGCCATTGCACCAGCAGCTCCAAGAAGAACTGAATATGTTGAATTTAGAGGCGAAACACCTTCTGACATCATTTCTGAAAAGAAATCGGTAGCTTCTGCAAAAAGCTCATTTTGGATGTGCCCCGAAATCATCGCTGTCCATGCAACTGCATCTCTATCTGGCATGATCTGGAAAAGATAACAAGCCTTTGATACTTGTCCAACACTAAAATACCCAGTGATCATAGACGTCCAAGAGATCTTGTCTCGGATAGGTAGATTGTCAAAGAAATGTTGAGCCTGGTCTAGCTGTCCAATCTGTATGTAACCATTAATCATGGAATTGCAAGACTGAGCTGTACAATTACTAGAATTCTTGATAAAAATAAAGTATGCAGAATTCATGATACCAAAGGCTGAGTACATGTGAATGAGGCTCTTTGATAATCTGCCATCATAATCATCATACTCCCAACTGTTCACAATCAACTGAGCATGTAGTTGCTTGCCAAGATTAGGCAAATCAATACCTGCACAAGCATATACAAGAGATATAAAGGTCTCTCCATTCGGTTTTGTGTCACAGTTCCCCTTCAATTTAAGAAATAGTGATAGAGCTTCTTTATAGAAGCCATTCCAAGCAAAGCCACCAATCATGGCTGTCCAAGAAACAACATTCCTCTCAGGCATTTTTTGAAACAATGAATAGCCCTCATCCACATTGCCAGACCTACAGTAACCGGATATCATGCTAGTCCATGTAATCACATTCCGATCCACCATCTCATTAAATAACACTCTTGCTTCTTCCATTCTACAATGCTCAGCATACCCAGAAATCATGGCATTCCAAGAAACAACATTCTTCGTCGGCATTTGCTCAAAAACCCACCTTGCTCCATCCAAATCCCCATTCCTAATCAACCCAGCAATCATGGAATTCCAAGAAACAACATTCCTCTCTGGCATCGCATCAAACAATCCCCGCGCCTCATCAATCCTCCCCACATCTGCGAACCCACAGAGCATTGAAGTCCACGATACAACATTTCTCTCTGGCATCTCTTCAAAGAACCGCCAGCCCTCATTCAACCTCCCAGATTGGACATACCCTGACAACATCGCATTATAAGTCACAATGTTCCTCTCCGGCATGATCTTGAAGAGCATCCGAGCCTCATCAACGCAACCACTTCTCGAGTATTTTGTAAGCAAAGAAGTCCAGTGAACAACACGGCCATAGCTATTTCTTGCAGGCAATTTCTCAAGCAGCTTGCGTGCCTCTCCAAATAGATTTTGGGAAAGACAACGAAGAAGCTGTGAATCATCAGAAGTGAGTTTTGCATGATGGGTTCTTGAAAATGCAATCTGGGTTTTATAACATCGGCAATAGAAATCAAAGCATCGAAGTTTGACTAAGGTTTCTGAGAAGGTAAAACAGAGGGGTCTGCAAAATGAGGCGCGCATTAACTGGTTTTCAAAAAGTAACAGTTTCGAGAGGCTTCAACTTTAAGGACCCAAGTAAAAATGAAAAGAAATGACAGCCCCCCATGTTATATGACTGAGTGTGGCTCGTAAGTCACATAAACGACGCCGTCACGTATGACTTTTTGAACCTACATGGACTAGTATATAAAATAGGCTCTCTGTTTGGCATAGCTCTGAGATCCAACTATGGAGTTTTTGGACGAGGACGCAAGGCCAAGGTTCCTCTTCCAATCGAAAGCAGGGGCTTCTTCAGCCACAGACCCAGAACCCCATTACAAGAATCTCAACAAACCATTCATTGCCTTTACAATATTACTCTCAATTCTATTACTGGGTCTCTCCTTCTTCTTCCTCCAATCCGAACCCTACCAATCTCTCCTCATCTGGGTTGCTCTCTCCATCCTTGTCGGCCCCTTCGCTCCCGCTTCAGTCACAGGCGGTGACATCCGCGTCGGTCACGGCCAAATCCTCGACCTCCCTGAAATCACAACCCAAGTAGAGGAGGAATCGAAGAAGAGGGTGTCTCAAAAGAGATCAAAGCCGCGTCGATTTGATGAGGGCGCAGATTCGACACCGGTGGCCGAAACTTTTAATGGGCCTGTGAGAGAAGAGAAAAAGCGTGAGGTTTCCGAAGGTAATGGTAACGGGTCTATGGTGTTTGATGAAGAGACGGATTGGGTTGAAGAGGATGTTGAGTTTTTGAAGAAACTGCTCTTGAAGCACCCGGTAGGGAAGCTGAGACGGTGGGAGGTTATTTCCGAGTCGTTTCGGGGAAAGCATAAGGTGGAGAGTGTGATCAAGAAGGCCAAAGAATTGGGAGAGAAGAAAGTGACTGATTCAGATTCTTATGCAGAGTTTTTGAAGAAGCGTAAGCCCAATGACAAGAAAATCGAGAGTGAGAGTCAAGACTTGGGTGATGAGTTGGTGGTGGAAAATGGTGAAGTGAAGAAAGAGAGCAATGGTGGTGGGGTGAGTTGGGCTTCTACTGAAGACATTGCATTACTCAATGCCCTGAAGTCGTTTCCCAAGGATGTGTCGATGAGGTGGGAGAAGATTGCAGCTGCTGTGCCCGGGAAGTCAAAGGCGGCTTGTATGAAGAGAGTTGCCGAGTTGAAGAAGGGTTTTCGGAGCTCCAAGGCTTCAACAGAAGAGTAGATGAAGCAAGGGAAAATTGTCTGATCAATTTGGAATTGGATATGCATTTTGCATTGATGAGGTAATTTGATGATTCATTGATTTCTTTGTTTTTTCTATTGAAATTGAGAATCATTGCCTATGTTTGATTCCATTGCAATTTTATATCATAATTCCTATGGCATTTGGTGATTGCCATTACAAACATATGATAGTTGTAACTGAATTCTTCTTTTACGAATAAAAACCAAGTTATACGGTTTGATATAAAAGTTGTAATGCTATATGGTTTCATCCAATATCATGTGTATAAAACCACATGGTTTCTCGTTGGCTTTTGCAGGATTAGCATTTCTGATGCTCCCTGATGCTAGAGGGACTTAAAGAGCAATGAAAAATAAATAACAAAATATGGTTTCCGATAAATCTCAGACTCTTTCTCCCATTTGAGGCTGACAACTTACCCCCTTTCTATGTATAATATGTTAGCAATGAATTAACAAGGCATATATCTGAAGAGTTTTTAGGTGACTTAATCTTCCCAGTGAAAACAAACTTAGGTACGTATATTTGGGTCAAAACTTTGTAAAGATTGACGGAATAGCATCTTAGAAACGAATTAGTGGTGGCCCTGGTACGTATATTTGGGTTAAAACTATGTAAAAAAGGTAAAAACTGATGAATTAGTGGTGATATCAGTGACGTCTTAGAAACTAATGAAATGATAAGAGTTTTGTTGTTCTAGGCCAGCTTTGACTAATAAGAATTTGTATTTAGTAGATCATGGAACAGTTTGAGATTGTTTTCAGTCATGTACAATGAAATTCCAGTGACTGAACCCATTGAGAAGATATTTAATTCTTTCTGGAATCTTCATAGAACAGAAGGCAGAGAAATAAGAGATGTGAAAGCTTGAGAGGGAACAAAACAGGGTGACCTTGATTTTATCATACATCTGGCCTTCTATAATTTGGCCTGGGGGGATTTGTTTTGTGCTCTATCAAAAGCTCTATAGACTGGGGTGCTATGGTTTATGGCTTATACACTGATGCTCTGTGCAAGACTGCTGAAACTGCCCTTGCCAAAATCTCAGTTGATTCTGATGATGAGCAATTTATAGTTCAAGCAGGGTTGAGCAATCCTTTCCATATTCGAAGGACTTTCTGTCAGAGAGTTTTGAGGCCTATCAACTTTCTTGCAATACTCATAGATTCTTATGTTTATTTTATAGTATTCTTTGAAAAGGTTCTTAAGTGAGGATTATTTATTTATTTTTTCCTAATGTTAGATCAGATATGAACAGCTAAAATACATAATGGGTGAGATGCATTTCAATAGATCTCAATTCTCAACCATTCATCTAAAGGTTCAAAAACAGGGGGGGAGCGGGGGAGGGTGTGGAGTGAGTTTTTGGTTGTATCCTCGTGGATATCCAAACTAAACTGCCTTCTTATCAACCTGATGCTTGTCATGCTGATTTTATCAAATGGCCTTTCCCCTCTTGCTCCCCTTCTGCATTTTGGAATGCGATTCAGTTATACATACAATTAGGGAGTACTTTGGTATAAGCTTTTTTGATTTCTTCAGTCCATACTAAGGATGACTACTAGAGGGCATTTAGCTACAAAGAATCGAATGCAAATCTATTCTCCTAGTCCTACTCATGTTCCTTTCGACCTGGCCACCTTTTCTTTGATGGCCCCTATGGTGAGGGGATATGGAGGCAATTAATGACCAAATGTGGCTCTACATGGCTCTCTACATCTTGGCACCTTTATGTTCATATGGTTTCTAAAGCTCAGGTAAGGGTTATTTCCAATATCAGCAAGAAGCCTTGTGTTGTTCTTGCAGTCTACGGCATATGGTGTGAGAAAAACAATTAGGTGCAGACTTGCTACTGTGAAATTCAAGAAGTCCCCTTGCAATAGAACCACTACTCTTGCCTGGCATCCCTCTGACTCTTGTCTTAGCAAAGTGTTTGCTTTGTCTGCTTTTGTGTTTTGTGCGCCTTTTGAGTTTGTTTTATGTTTTGGCCTTGCGACTCGCTCAGCTTCTTAACTTTTTTCCTTTTTTATTTTTTTGGGTGGTGAACTAGGGGGAAAACCCCGAACAAACAAAACAAACAAACCAACACAAATCAAACGGGGCCTAGACACCCCTAACAAATCATCCACCAAAGAAGTCCCAACCCAACTTGGAGCCTCATCAAAAACGCAGATACCAAGATATATATTATAACTCCAAGCAGCCAGTCGATCTACAACACTGTTTTTCTCCCTAAAAATATGATGAAGGTTGTAATTCTCAAACTGCTGCATTAACTGCCAACAACTAGAGACCAAAGATGCAAGAGGGTGCAAAGTAAGAGAATCATGCTGCTGAACAAGCTGGATAGAAACAGTCGAATCCATCTCAATGATAAGGTTATTAAACCCTTTCGCAATAGCCATCCTCAAACCAAAAAACAAGCCCCATAATTCAGCCTCAGAATATGTCATTTTCCCAAATTAACTGCAAACCCACTACACCAATCACCAGAAACATCACGCAACACACCTCTAGCACCAATATGGCCAGAAGCAACTTTCCTAGAGCCATCAAGAGGAGATTTTATTGATAAGTTTCTAATGCAATTATGAAATTGTTTACCCGTTTTGATGTAATTCCTGTGGTGATAAGGTAAAGTTCCCCATTGACCTAAAAACCATTGATGGTTGACAAGTCAACTTTCTTTTGAGTGCGAGCATGCCACTGTTAATGGTTAAAAAACCCCAACAAACTACGAAAATGTAATAACTTGCACCCTAAGCTATTGACTTTGATCAAGTGATTGTGAATTTGGGTGAGGAATATCTCCTAAGTAAGTTCTTTTCTTGCCTCAGACGGGTGAGGACTTTATAATTTCCCACAGTAAAGTAAAACAGGTAAGTCTAGCCAAAAATGAATGTTGAAAATAAATTAAACTAGTTCAAAGAGAACTGTCTATTACACAATTAAACAAAAGAGAACTGCCCAGTCTTGAAGGGCATCAGAACATCGGACTAAGATTTCTGCTTGGATTTTCGTTCGTGACTCAGGCTAGACTGGATATGTCTATGCTGAAATTGTACGTCAGCACCTTCAACTAATGGGAATCAGTTGGAAATTGATACCAATGTTGAGATTGGCAGAGCTTTCATCAAATTTAGCCATGGAGAGGCTTATTGAGTGGGCAGAGCTGAGATCTCTTCAGTCTGAACTGGATTGGAAGTGGCTGGATTGGCGATTGCTGGCCTGGAATTACACTTCAGTACTTATTCTGCTTTACTGTGAATCATCTAAGGGCTATTCTGATGATTCTGAGACATCAACGTTTCTCTGGAAATTTGTTGACATTTTCATATTATGAAGAACCTGAACTCCTACTTGATTCACCTGTTCTAAACCAAACTTGTAACGAGAAAAGTCTCGTTTTGATATGGACTACTTCTTTGAACTGAACTGAAGTATGAAGTCTGAGTTCTGCTTGTTTTGTCAGAAGCTGGATGGCTTTTACAAACCAAAGAGTTTGATTGCTTCAGAGTTTGAAGACTTTTGGGCTCACGTGATCTTGCTTAATCTTTATCAGTATGACTGAGAGTTTTTGTCTTGATTGGATTTTTTGTTGTCCTTTATCCAGTTCACATCCTCCTATATTTATAGGAAATCTTCATGGGTGATGATTCCTTAATATCTGGAGGGTACTTTGCCGAGAGGTTTTTGCTGGAGCAGTTATTTTGATAAGAAAAGGCCCACATCAAGGGTCAGTTTCCTGATGATCAGTATGATTTTCTTGATAACCAACTCTCTTACTTCTTGTTCGCCCCTTGCAAAATTGAATTTGTACTAATGAGACCTTCACAAGCATGGGAAGGAAACTCAGCCTGTTTTTCTAGCATTTAATGGTTATTTTTGGGGCGAGAGAGGGGGGTTGTTTTTTATTTCACCTTTTCTACCAACTCCCCTAAATATCCTATGACCGTTTCCTGTTGACGTCTTGTCATTGGAATCACATGGGCATTGAGGAGAAAAACTCTTCCCTTTATCTGCTGACCTGATTTTGAAATGATGATCAACGGTGAAGATCAAATCTTGAACCCTTAGGAAAATAATCTAGAAGTTGGGTGTGAATTAAACCAATTAATTATGGTTTTTTCAAGATTAAATCACCATTTAATGACAGTTAACCTTTTAATTGGTTTCATTCCATTTTTCTTCTTTTGTAATAGCCTGGGCCTTTGAAATGTCCTGGGATGGTTCCCAATTTTGATAAAATAGAGCCTAAATCTGTGCCATTAATCTAGCCCAATACCCAGATAGGCCGGTGCACAGAAATTAGGCCCAAACAGAAATTGTTATGTGCTACGATAGGGGGAAATTTTATTCTTGCTAAATTTTCACTTTACTATCTAAAAGTTTACCGAATTTCAACATTTCATTTATTGTCATTTTTGTACATGGAACTTTGGTTTCACTACAATTTCATACCCTTCGTCACTCTAGCCGACAAGAGATTCGTTAACCCATGACATGACAAGTACTACATGGACCAGCATATTAAATTTTTTAGAAAGTAAAGAAAGTCTCTCTTTGCTTTCTTGAAGAAGAAAGATGGTATTTTGTACTGATTGTAATGGTTTACAATTCAATTTTCCCTTTCCCTTATTTTTTACCTCCAAATTCCTAGAACCGACCCCCTGCCTAAGACAAAACCCTTCTTCACCGTCGTTTAGTCGCTCTTTTACAGTCTGTCTTTGTCATTTCTAATGCGTTTTCTCAATGGTCCCTCTCATCAATTTGGATGCTTATTATTAGACCAATTGCTTCTTAATTTGACCGACCGCTAAACCAGTCCTTCAAACTCAAACCCCAGCAACCATGCATGTCCAACTAAAAACTAATCTGATTAATTAGCTCCTGCTCCTATTTCTTATATCTCTCTCTCTCTCTCGTGTCGTCTCCACCATTTCAAAATAATCAAACATTTTCCTTGGGACCCACTGGATCTAAATCACACAACTAAAAAAGATATTTATTATTTTATTACTTTTCTATTTTCTATTTTTTACTTAGTAATAAAATCAAGATAAAAAATTAACTTTTGGTCATTGTAGTTTGCCAGTTTTATCATTTGGTCTCAGTACTTTCAATTTTGAGCAATTAAAGAACACGTTTCAATTTTTGTAAAATTCCTCCAAATTCCATTAAGCTTTGACCACATGGAAGGGTATTTCAGTCTATTTGAGCCATCTAACGGTAAAACACATGCTAAACCTCTTGCGATTCATTTTAGGTGCGATTTTGGAGCTTGGGGTTTTCAAAAAATTTGCATCTTTTAGTTAAAATCTGGGTGAATTAGGAGGAATTTGAGTGGAGTGGACTGTTTGAGCAATTTTTCGTATGAGAAATATTCGCGGGTTGATTCTTCACCCTTCGAGCTTTCTTCTCTCTCCTCTTCTTTGATTCCTGCTTCGAATTGGAAACTATAAGGATAAAATTGACAAAATTGAAACTATGAAGACGAAAGTGTTAAAATCGGCAAATTACTGGACCGAAAATGAGTTTCTTTTTTCTTTCTTTTTTTTCCCTAAAATGACCAATAAAATTATAAATTACCGAAGATAGCTCTGACCTCTCCCAATCCAAACTCACTGTGTTGCTTGCTGCGTAGCTGTAACGGTAAACCCTCCCTCCTCCTATAGAGTGAAAGGCAGAGAGTGTCTTTTCTCGCATCTTCCATGTTGTTGTTAATATAGAAATACAACAATTACCGCAGCGCCCGATCCAAACTCCCCACCGCTACGCGTTTCGTTTCGGGGAAAACTAAACGTTTCTGGCTCTCACCTCCGATTCGCCTCTGGTAAGCCTTCCTCTACATTTTGCACCACTCAAGTTTTTCATACATTTTTAATCATCTTCGTTTTGGAGCGTAGTTAATTTAGGTTCTTAGAGTGTATAATTCGTCTGTTTAAGCAATGTTAGTCGAATTTTTCGATGTAAAATTCAGGTGATTGTGATTTGTTTGATGGGTTATTGTAATTCACAAATGATTTATGTAAAAAAAACTCTGAAGTTCATCTGTTTCATCGCCATGCATTTGATTTTATGCTCAGAATTCACCTCTTTTTGTATTTCATTTGAAGGGTTGCAGCTGTGATCCTATTTTGCAGACCCTTTGCTAATTGGAATTGATTTCATTTCTTTGTGCCACAGAAGTACTGAGAATGATTGTGCTTTTGTGATTGAGTAACTATATGAATATTTCTACATGACATTGTTCCCAAGTGGGTCAGGTTTGTTTAAAGAAATAGGAGTTGCATCTCAGCTCCATTTCCAATTTAAAGGCTGTTATGTTTTTTAGTACCTTAGCTACGTATTAGACTAGAGCTACGTATATTTGTATATCCGGGTAACGTTAGGAGCATCTTGCATTGAGAAATGAACTCTATATGTATGTATATGTATGTAGGAGATGGGCAATGAATGCACCTGTTAACCGTAGGACTCTGTGGAACAGTTAATCTGTATTGTAGATTTTGTGATGATTTTTCAACTGTAAAACACTTTTTTTAATTACTGGAGAAGTCATAAGGCATGATTGTTGTGGAATAAATCAACAAGCAAGAGAAAGAACAAAACCGCACATACATGTACATGCCATGAGAGAATGATTGGAGTGGTTCAGTAGTTTACTCTATGCTTAGGGACTAACCTTCGGAGATTGATCTATGGAATGGGCATACAAGTGTTGGTTTAGAATATTTACAATACTTGAGTGAAAGGAAGGGAGATCATCAATTTACCCAAAAAATCATCGTCATCCTTCCGTTGTTTCAATCATTGGGTTGACCACATACATTCTGTGGTATGACTGCTAGAATATTTCATGTACTTGCTTTCTTTTATTTGTTTTTGTCAGTTTTTGCTGAGTTTATGCTTTCCATATATTCATTTTTTTCACATCATAATTTCAGTTGTTCCCCATCTATGAGGTGAGGTAAGTACTCGATGGCAGACTTACCAGGCTATATGCGTGCCTGCTTGCATACCGGGAAACTTGCTGCATTGGCAATTTTGGTCGCTGGAGGGATTGTATTGCAAATTTTGGTGGGTAGTGTTTATTCTTGTCAATTATATTTGCTGAATTCATATGTAAATCAGTAAGCTTTTTATCTCTTCTAACGTTAATAGTCATCCGATGTGTTCTCATCTATCACATGTTTTGCGGCAGGCATGTGCTTTGTACAATAATTGGTGGCCGATGCTTACTGGTACATACTGAACTTTTGGGTCTTTACTTTATTACTTTTTTTCAAATTTAAAATTGTTGTTTTTCTTCGTAAACTTGCTATATGATGCCTTTTCTTTTGGCCAAATAAGCTGTTATGTGATGCTTACATATTAATGTATTTGTGAAATGATAAGTACGTCAATACTATAAAAGATTTCAATTTTTGGATTCTCTAGCTTCTTTAAGAAACCATCTTTAAGGGTACTCATATTCTCTTCCCTTTTATCCACTTTTTGTTTTCCTTGAATTATCCCAGAACTCAAATGAATAAAATAGATCTGAATACATTCTTTTGGCAAAGTTTCTCATCTCTTTGCTTCATTGTTTCAGAACTTTTTTTTTCTTCATATTTGTCTTGACCTGACTGGAAACAGGAGCTTTAGAGCATTATATCAGGTGGTAAAAGGATAGTGATAGGGCTAGATGTTGACTGACATCTAGCAACAACATGTCCAGACACAGGTTGAGGAAAATAAAAACATATTTTAAGAACCTTAGTTCCCCATTGAGAATTCCCTTTATGTAGGTTTTCAATGATTTGCATGACGACTTGCATGCTAATGGTTTAGTCATCACTTTGTTCTCTTGCAGTAATAATGTATGTGCTTCTTCCCATGCCATTGCTGTTCTTTGTGGGATCTGATTCTTCTGTAATTTCAGAATCTGATAATGGGTTTGTATTCCGCCCTTTGAACTTACTGTAATATCCATTGTTTTCATCTAAATCTCCTTCAACATTTCTCAGCTTCTTACTTGCTTCCTAACAATGATGAAACAGATGGGTTAATGCAACCAAGTTCCTGACTGGAGCTTCAGCTATTGGCAGCATTGCAATACCTGCTATCTTAAAGCATGCTGGTGTTATTGGTTGGGGAGCCATGGCAATGGAGCTCGCATCCTTTTTCGTATTTGTACTGGCAATCATGTGTTACATTCGGACGAGTGATGAAGACAGCTACAGTGCGATCTGAGATACGGCTCTCCTGGAGTCCTGCCAGATTTCTGTAAAGATGTGTTGTATTTGCCCACAGGATGTTTTCATTTCTTGGTGAGGGTTACCTTCAATATCAGCTTGTTATTATATATCCAGAAAACCTTTTTTTTTTTTTTCTCCCTGTTGAGTGTTATTCTTTATCCCTGTAATTGAGTTTGGTGTTGTATCAAATATGTTTTAACATCTCATTATAGAAAACTCTGATGTGAAAATTGAATTGAGTATGAAGTAGCCTGCCTTGATGTCGAATTCTGGTGTGAATTTGGGCATTCTTGCTTGAGATTGATGTCAACCTTCCTATACTAATTGGAAGAGGTTATACCCTAATTAATTATTATTTTTTTTTTTTAAGGGGGGTCAATTTCTGGGGTTTCCTAAAGAAAAAGTATCTTGCTGGGCAATAGAATAATATAGGGGGTCTAGATGAGACTTGTAAGACATAATATTAATATGTTAATGTTGTCAAATTTAAAAATTCAGTTGTAGCTTTTGTAAGTTTTCAAGACTACTAGTGGAGTATAGCTCAGTTGGTTGAGCTCTTCCATCTCCACTTATGTGGGCAGAGGTTCAAAACTTCAAACACCCAATGAATATTTGTGTAAACTTACCTCGCCTAATTGCTTGTACTAAAAAAAAATATTCAAAAGACACTAGTCCAATTTAATTGAAATAGTCTAGTCCATGGTTTTTGTAGTGCAGATGTTGGTGTGGTCATCACATTCTAAGTATCATTTCTTAAGGATCTTCAACCTTAATTTAGGGTTTCTTAACTAACACTCTGTCTAGTGACATGTCTCTTTTTAATATTCTAAGAGTTATAACATTTGATACCCCTTAACTGCTCTTATAAAAATATTTTATGATTTAAATAACTTTTTTTATCCATTCTTTGCACAATACATTCAATTTGGTCCTTGTGTTTTCAATTTGACCAATTTAGTTTATACATTGCAATTTGTTAACTATTTTAGTTATTTTCATATAATTTAGACATTAACATGCATGTGTCACATGTAAAGGCTCAGAGTAGATTTGCATAAAATTAAACGAAAGGGATCAAGTTCAAAAGACCAAAATAAAATTTGAGCAAAACACTTAAACAACAATGGTACTTAACTAAATCAAACAAAATCATTAATTTGTATCAAATCAAAGCAATAATAACAAATGAGCAATATTAGCATTAGTCGCACGAGAAACACTTGACTTGCCATAAGTGATAACTTTTATACTTGTTATAGCGTGACACCCGACTAAAACAGTGTCATCCCCTTTTTTCTGCTAGTCGCACAAGAAAAACTTATATGCAACAATTTGACCCAAAATAAAAAACTTAAATGCAACAGAGATAGCATTATTTTACTATCCAACTAATAATACTATGATAATTATCACGCTTCTCAAAACCTTACTAGAATATTTTTCTCAGTTTTATTCCCCTTTCATAAAATTCGCACAGGGTCTTGCAACGCATCAACCGCGCACGCGTGACAATAGAAAGAAATAAAGAGCTCTGCTTCTCAGTAAGAAGCATGACAATCGACACCGCCCCCATGGAAGACATCCAGGCCAAGGCCGAGGAGCTCCGTCTCCAACTCTCCTCCCTCCACTTCAACTCTGCAGCTCCACCTCCTAACCAAGACTTATATAATAATAATACTGAGAACAATTTTGGGTACAATCCAAAGACTCCTTTTTCTTTACCCACTGTGCGATTTCGACCCTCAAAACCCGAAACTCTGATTCAACTGATGATGTTTTCTTGTTTTGTTTATGATTCACAGTGATGCCCAAGAAGTGTTCTACGACGACGACGGTTTGCTTTTCAATATTGGGTTCGGAAATGTGATCGTCGTTGATAACGTTTCGATTGTGAAGGCGGAGATGGCCCAGCAGCTCGAAAGCGAAATCCGACGAGTGTTTAGTGAAGTTGGTGTTATTAAAGAAGATGGGTTTTCGATGCCTCTTAATCCCCTGAACCAGAAAACCTTGGGTCGTTGTTTTCTAGAGTTCAGTTCTCGTCAGGTACCCTTAATTTCGTTCTGTGTTAATTTATGTATTTTTCTTGGGTTTGTTCATTGTCAATTAATGTTTTGTTTAATGTATCATCAACAAATGAGTGAACATAGTTTGGTACCACTCACAAATTCACAATCATGGCTATTAGATTGTGAGTTAATAATTTTGAAATGAGGGTAAAACTAAAATTGAACATTGGATACTTGATAGAAACTCCATTTTTCCACTAGACAAAGAATGGGAAAGATTTATTATGCTGTTCAATGTTATTGCTTTGCTCCTCCAAGCATGGATGGAACGAAACAAGAGGACTTTATTTTGAAAATGTTAAGGGGAGGAAGTGGAAGGCCTGTGGGATAGAGTTCGTTTTTAGGCTTATTTGTGGTCTTCAATTTCCTCAGACTGTCAAATTCTAGTTTTGCTCATTCATCTGGGGTCTTGAATTCTCTATTATTTGGACATTGCATGCTGTTTTGGTTAGATATCTTGTATGCATTCCAGACTTCCAGTAAGCAGCTTGTCCACTATGCACTGTGCTTTTGATTTATAGCATATCAATAAGATCTCGGTGTTTCACATCAACAGACAGTTTGATCTCCTTTCTTCCAGTGTTATAGGTTTAAAACGAAAATGTGTTTAATAGATGGAAACATGCACACTCAATATGCCTAATAGCGTCTTTTTATTACAAGGTGTGGACTAATTGTTGTGTACTTGTAACCTCATGCACGCATCCATGCATTTCTTTGCCCTCTCATATTCTCATGCTTGCCCTTGTAGGAAGCTGAACTTGCTAGGGTCAAGAGAGATGGATACAACTTCAACACACAAGCGCTGTCAGTAACCCTGTATGATGACTTGGACAGGTTCATTGATATCACTGATGTGGGGACAACACCAGAAACTAATCCATCCGCTTGTTTGGTAATTTTTCTAACCTCTCTTTGCCTATCAACTATCGTTTTATTGATTTTATATTTTCTTATGCTTGTAGTCTTGTCTATCAACTCCACTTTTCTATATTCAAAACCGAAGTCTGCCTACTTCTATTGCACATGGCACATTGAGATATTGTATACCTCATATGAATAAATTGTAACTAAAGAAGAGAGAACCCAGATGCTATGAGTCATTGAATTGACAATATTCATTTTAAATTTGTTGCCATGACAGCTAACCATTCTATATTTACATATAAAAATGTGTTTTGTTAACTTCAATAAAGAAGTCAAATCAGCTTCCTTTTCCTTTTCATTAAATTTTTCTTTAATTTTCTTGGTATCTCAGAGCATTTATAGTCATTTAGTTGAGAATAGCATATACGGTGAAGTATAACTGAAGAATTTGAACGCAATATAGGACAGAGCTTATGGATAGAAATGGTAGCTTTTTGGTATAACAAACTGTTTTCTTTGGCTTCTCATTATTAAAGACCACTTACAACTCAGCCATTTCACTAGAGTCTTAAGTGTCCTACATCATGAGCATGCTGCTCACTTGTGCTATACAGAAGTACATCATGGTGCACTTGCAGACTATGCCTGTACCATGGCACAGCTAATGCGTCTCACAATCCTGTTATGCCATTGATGAGTGGTGAATCATTAATGGTGATCCTTGAGCTTGCAGGGGCAGCATGAAACTTTAGTAATGATTACTACTTGTAATCTCAACTAGTTTTCATGATTAGTGTCTTGGCGCTCTGTGGTTTAAACTGTAATGGAAAAAGCATTTCTTAATGGTGGAACTCACTGCTAGCGGTGTCACATTTAGCAATGCAAACTTATTGCGTAGGTTATTGTTCTTCAGTTTCTTAGAGTCATGACAGTCTCGTACAAGCATTATCATGTTGTGTTTTCAATCTTTAAGGGGTTGGACCACGAAATACTTTATTCGTCTTATTTTCTTCGGCTCTGGCAATCACAAACTGGAACAATAACAAGGCTTTTCCTATGTAGTTAGTAATGTATCTGTTGCATCATTGGACGCTCATTTTTAGCATGACTTTGGGATGACTGAACAGCGTTACAGAATCTGATAGAAAATTTTCGTTCACAGTGCTATCTTGGTATTCGTTTTTCCTTTTTGTTAAAAAAAAAAAGATTAAATCTATGATGCAGTCCTCAAGGTATTCAGGGCCACCATCCTTACTCAGTCCCCTGAAAGAGGAAGATGAAGAAGACCAAGGCAGAGAACTGGGACAGCCAAAGGAGCAAGATTTAGGGGAAGTCACTGCATCAATGGGAGGGATGGGTTTTGGAGGGGAATGATAGAATGAAGTATGGAAATGCGCATGAAAATTTAAAGGGATGAAGATTCCAATGAGGGGGAGGGAGACCTGCTGAAATCAATTGAATTTCAAGTGCTGTAATTTTGAAGATAAAGTCCGGTCTGGATTTACTTACGAGTGAATATACGGAAATTTTTCATCCCATGTTGCTCAACCAACCTCATAGAATTGCTTTCGTCTGCCATTTATTATCCTTTTATAGCAAAATGTCTTGCATTCGTCGACCAAATCATCCAACGAAATCGTCTGGTTGTCATTGGTGTCATGATGAGCCTGTAAAAGTAATCCAAGAAAATCACTCCCTAAGCTCTCTTCTTCTCCAGGCATTGCCTTCTTTTCTCTTTTCTTAACACTCTCTAAGCTTCCCCATTTCAATCTCATCGCTGGTTTTAACAAACCTACTGCAATATAAATTGAGTGAAAAACCAAACATGAGATCAGAAATTTTGTCTTTTCTCGTACACGCTTTCAGAAATTTTGTCCTTTTTCTAGTACGCGTTTAGGAATTGGGGGGCCTCGGTTCTCCAATTCAAAAAGATTCAAAAACGCAGAAGGCCAAAAGGGTTCTTCTTCTCCAGGCATTGCCTTCTTTTCTCTTTTCTTAACACTCTCTAAGCTTCCCCATTTCAATCTCATCGCTGGTTTTAACAAACCTACTGCAATATAAATTGAGTGAAAAACCAAACATGAGATCAGAAATTTTGTCTTTTCTCGTACACGCTTTCAGAAATTTTGTCCTTTTTCTAGTACGCGTTTAGGAATTGGGGGGCCTCGGTTCTCCATTCAAAAAGATTCAAAAACGCAGAAGGCCAAAAGGGCAAAAGAGTAAAACAACAAATAAAACATTCGAATAGTCCTACTAGGAATAGGAAATAATTCGAGTAATCCTACTTGGAGTGGGAAAACCAAATAAATAAGGTTTCCTCCCTCGGTCTGTCCGTCTATAAAAGCACATCTCACCCGCACATCATTTACTCAAAATCAAATACCCTAAACTCCTCTGAAGATGTCTTGGTGTATGCAACTGGTGAAGCGTGCTAATTACAAGGCTACAGTGAGAGATCCTGGGACTCTTGGGGTTTTAACTATGACGGAGAACAAGTTTGTGTTCTGCCCAAATGTTCACGCGTCCACCGCCGCGAAACCGGCGCTCGATTTGGAGTTTAAACAAATTACACGTCTCAAAAACACTAAGGAGGGAGGAGATAGACCACCTTGGCTTCGTCTCAGTGAGAAGGACAAAACTTACATCTTTGAGTTTGCAAGTTTTCGTGATCTTCATGTATGCCGAGAGTTTGCAGCCAATGCGCTCGCTAAGCGTGGAGAAGCTGCAATACCTACTTGTTCTTCTGATGAACAAATCTGTGCAGCAGAAATAATGCACCGTATGAAGCTATTACAAGAAAGCAGTGAATTGCACAAACTTCATATGCAGTATGTAATGAGTGGTGTCTTAACAGAAGCTGAGTTCTGGGCAGCTAGGAACAAGTTTGGTGATGTAGATAGCCGTCCAAAGCCAAAGCAACAGGTTGGTTTCAGAAACTCAATGATAATGGACACCAAACCCGTGATGGATGGCCGAACGAACAAGGTTACTTTTAGTTTGACTGCAGAGATTAAGTATCAGATTTTTGCCCTGAAACCAGCTGTTCAGCAGGCATTTCTTGCTCTGGTTCCTGGTAAGACTACGGAAAAAAACTTCTGGACAAAGTATTTCCGAGCTGAATACCTCCGAAGCACAGGTACTGCTGCTGCAGCTGAAGCAGAAGCCGCCGATGATGAGGAACTGGCAATGTTTTTGAAGGAGGATGAGGTATTGGCGAGGGAAGCTCGTCGAAAGCTTCGACGGGTTGATCCAACTTTGGACATGGAAGCTGACCAAGGAGATGATTATACGCACCTTCCAGATCATGGGATATTCTTTCGGGATGAGGTGTACAGCAGGAGAAGGACTTTATCACAAGACCTTAACCGGCAAGGTGCTGTTGTTCTTCAAGGAAGAGGCATCATCGAAGTTGATGAGAGTGGTGTGCAGGAGAGATTTGGTAGGATTGCTCGGACCACTGAGATGGAGGATCTTCAAGAACCTCACCATCTTCATGTTGCTCCACTATTATGCATGAAGGATCCCGGAGACTACTTTGACACGCCACAAGCTAATAATGCAGTTAAAGCTGAGGAAGCATACGGCTCCTTGAGGCAGTCTATATCTAAAATCAAGAGCATTGGATTGGGAAATGCCACAGTTGCACCAGAAATTGCTCTTACGATTTTTAATACAACACCATTTTAGTGTTAATTACCCTGTCTATTCCATTTCTGTCAATAAGGTGTGTTTTCCAACAAAAAAGAAAGAAAAATCCATCTTTCTCTTACCTAGATTCTTGAGGGTGTTCAGGTCCAAAAACCATGAACACCTCTTAGCTGTACAATCAACATACCACAAAGGGATGATTGGTGTATCCAAAACCAATGACATGGACATCACGTACGATATATTTGCCAAACAGAAAGTAAAAGTAGTATTAACTAGAGGCATTCAAAACTTATAGCAGCATGCACTTCCCGTTTAAGCACATGCAAAGGTTGCTGTCTTGCATCCTCTTCCTCCACCTCTTCATCACTCTCATCCACTGATTCACCACGAAATAATTGTCGGACAGTATTTATCACAATTTTCTTAAGAGAAACAGCAGTCTTTATCAAGAACATGACGATTTTGACAACACTTTGATGACCACGATACCCTACAATTTCCACAACTTCCAGGTGATGATGGAAACATGTGTTAGCAGCCTCCTTAAAGCTTTTCTTCTGGAAATATGAATTGCATATCTACACCAACCAAGCAAACTATCAGGGGTAGGACCACTAAACAAGAATCAAGCATCTCTCAACCAAGCAAACCTAATCCATCTCCTTGTGTGGTAATTTTTTTAACCTCTCTTTGCCTATCAACTATCGTTTTATTGATTTTATAATTTTCTTATACTTGTAGTTTTGCCTATCAACTCCACTTTTCTATATGAATATAGCAAGTAACATGTTTCCTAATTATTTATATTAATATTATTCAATACCCAAGTCTGCCTACTTCTATGACATATTGAGATATTGTATACCATATATGAAGAAATTTTAACTAAAGAAGAGAAGCCAGATGCTATGAGCGATTGAGTTGCCACGATAGCTAACCATTCTATATTTACATGTAAAAATGTGTTTTTTAAACTTCAATAAAGAAGTCAATCAGCTTCCTTTTCATTTCCTAAGTTTTTTCTTTAATTTTCTTGGTATCTGAGAAGTATAACCGAAGAACTTGAACACAATATCGGAGAGAGTTATGGATATAGATGGTAGCTTTTTGGTATAACAAACTGTTTTCTTTGGCTTCTCATTATTAAGGACCTCTTAAAACTCAGCCATTTCACTAGAGTCAGAGTGTCCTGACACTTACTGGAGCAATTGCAATTATAGTTGTGCTATGGCACAGAAAATGCGTTTCATGGTCCTGTTATGCTATTGGTGAGTGGTGAATGATTAATGGTGATCCTTGAGCTTGCAGGGGCAGAATACAACTTTAGTAATGATTCCTACTTGTAATCTCAACTAGTTTTCATGATTATAGTGTATTGACACTTTGTGTTAAGCATTTCTCGATGTAAGTTGAGAAGAGTTTAACCATAGATAATCTCTTAACCGTCCCATCAACTAAGTGGAACTCACTGCCAGCGATGTCAAATTTAGCAATACAAACTTATTGTGTAGGTTAGTGTTCTTCAGTTTCTTAATGACTCTGAAGGTCTCATCACAGTCTCATACATTGTCAACATGACTTTGGAATAACTGAATAGCATTACAGAGTCTGTTAGACATTTATGTTTGCAGTACTATCTTGGAATTCGTTTTGCCTTTTTGTTAAAAAAAGATTACATCTATGCTGCAGTGATGGATGAATCACACACACACCTTCTGTAGAAAACAACCAAGCACAAAATGACACAAGAATTTATAGAGGTTCAGCAATTGCCTACATCCTCTTGGTGATCCCCTTGAGAAATTCACTAATGAAAGAATAAGTTACAGCTTTGGTTTACAAAGAAACCCCCTTAGAACTCTATTCCCTCCCCAAGTTCTCTTTTCTCTCTCACCCCTTGCTCAACACTTTGATGCACTTGTGAACACTTTCTCACACTTGGTGTTTCCCCTCCTTTGGTGTCTAGACTTACAAGACTCCAACACTTTGCTCTGTACTTGAGCTGATTGCACTCTCTTCCTCCCTTGATGATTTTCACCCACCCTTGGTGAACTTAACCACACCCCTTTGTGAATGAAAACCACACCTTCTGCTGCCTTGCATCCTCTTCTTTATAGACATGCCTTTGGACTTAGTAGAGGGCTGCAATTACTCCTGCACGTTCTCACTTTCAGCCACCCACCTAAACCATAGGTTAGGCAAGTCAAAAGCAAGCCATTAATGCATGCACCCTTTAGCCACCCTCTCTAGAAAAGCCTTTGGTACAAGTCAACAAACATCATTAAATGGTGTTCCAGCTTCTCCAGCACGTTGCTAGACTTCCTAGAACCCATAAAAGTCTTTGGAGGCACATTGAGTTAGCTAGAGAATCTTAATGTGAGCCAAAATTTCCAACAAGGGCCACCATCCTTACTCAGTCCCTTGAAAGAGGAAGATGAAGTACCTGGAGAAGAATGCCAAGAAGACCAAGACCGAGAATTGGGACAGCAAAAGGAGCAAGATTTAGGGGAAGTCACTGCATCAATGGGAGTGATGGGTTTTGTAGGGGAACGACAGTATGAAGAATAGAAATGTGCATGAAAATTTAAAGGGATGAAGATGCCAATGATGGGAAAGGAGACATGTGCTGAAATCAATTGAATTTCAAGTGCTGTAATTTTGAAGATTAAGTCCGGTCTAGATTTACTTACGAGCGAATATAAGGAAAATTTTCATCCCATGCTGCTCAACCAACCTCATAAAATTGTTTTCAAGCCTGCCATTTATTTATCTATTTACAGCAAAAGTTACCGGTTTAAAGGTGCTGCAATGAAAACGCCCATTGGCAGGCAGAAATGATAGATTTAAATAGCACCCTTTATTTGCATTTTTTCAATTTACAGCATCCAGTTCTTATTCTAGATTTAAATAGCACCCTTTATTTAAATAGCACCATAGATTTAAATAGATTTAAAACAACAATGAAGTGAAATGACAAGGTTATTGACTGCAGTTCATTATAGTCTTCGTGTCTGCAAGGAAGCAAGAACAGGAAGCAACTCCTAACACAACAGAAAGCTGAGGTTCCATCTTCATAAGCAAGTGCAACATTTGTGGGCAGTTCAGAGTGAGTGTAGCATTACTTGAACTCCATGTTGTGGACGAACTGTAAGAAATTGAGATGGTGAGTGAGTATAAGCTGGGGAAAGAGTGAAGACATGGCGTTGCAAAATCATCGACAGAGCAATCTTTGCTTCTGTGGTTGCAAAGTCTAAGCCCACACAAATCCGAGGTCCCATTCCAAAGGGTAAGAATGCTGCTATATTCTCCTTTGTAGCTTTAACAACCCCTTCAGCAAACCGCTCTGGTTTGAAGAGCTGCACATCTTGTCCCCAGAGTTCAGAATCATAATGAAATGCTACAATTGGGATGAGCAATTCAAGGTTAGCCGGAAGAATGAGCCTTCCCAGTTTAACTTCCCTTTCAACTCTTCTTCTAACGACCGAAGCAACGGGTGGATATAACCTCAGGGACTCGTACATGATCATACTCATCTGCATATGCATGGAAATCAAAGTTAGAGAGAGCAAACAAATCAGGAGTTCAAACTTTAATTCAGTTCTTGACTTCCTTACAGTTTTTAGTTTCGCAATGCCTTTCGGGTTTGGAGTTTGCTTGCCAAATACTTGTAGGACCTCTTTTCTTGCTTCCTCTTGCCAATCTGTATGTAATGCCAGAAGAAAGACAGTCCAGGCAAGAAAAGTAGCAGTGCTTTCGTGTCCAGCCAAGTAAAATGTCTTGCATTCGTCGACCAAATCGTCCAACGAAATCCTCTGGTTGTCATTGCCAAATACTTGTAGGACCTCTTTTCTTGCTTCCTCTTGCCAATCTGTATGTAATGCCAGAAGAAAGACAGTCCATGCAAGAAAAGTAGCAGTGCTTTCATGTCCGGCCAAGTAAAATGTCTTGCATTCGTCAACCAAATCATCCAACGAAATCCTCTGGTTGTCATTAGTGTCATGATAAGCCTTTAAAAGTAATCCAAGAAAATCACTCCCTAAGCTCTCTTCTTCTCCAGGCATTACCTTCCTTTCTCTTTTCTTAACAATCTCTATAATGGTTTCGCATATTCTTTTCTCAAGCTTCTCCATTTCAATCTCATCGCTGGTTTTAACAAACCTACTGCAATATAAATTGAGTGAAAAAGTAAACATGAGATCAGAAATTTGAGATTTTGTTAAGAGGAAGTTACCTGAGGCCAGGAAATTTGGGTTTCAAAGCAGTTTTAAATGTTAAGGTGGATATCTTCAATAGCATCTCAAAAATGTCTTTCCCTTCTAAGTAGCTGCTTCCAAATGCTGTCCTGGAAATTACATCCGAAGTCAACAACCTAAATTCTTCAAACGCCTCAATCTCCTTGCCTTCATGATTTTCCCACCTTTCTAGCATCGTCTCAGCACTAGCTATCATTGCATGAATCTGACTCTAGTAAACCAACACCAACACCACTATCATGCAATTAGCAGATTTATGTTCAATTATTTCCCAATCTTCACTAAATGACCGTGATAGTGTTATTGATTCATAGATAAATATTGACGCACACGCTGACACATCATTTGATGAATAATATTTATTACTTTAGCGCTATAAGAATAACGAGTAATTTCTATGAACTTACTTTTAAGCTCTCTCCATGGAAAGCGTGGTTGGCCAGCTTTCGCAATTTCGCCCATTTTTCACCTTCCTTTCGAGTTACAAGACCATCTCCTAATAGCTTCATCACAAAGGCGGACGGGTTGGATTTTGGATATGCTCTATGTTTGTTATTCAGTATCTCCTTGCACAACTCAGGATCCGTAATGACCAAAACAGGTTGAGGACCATCCCATTGAAGAAAATTCTTCCCTAATATTACAAAAAAGAGGACCAAATTTATCCAGGGTTTAAGATCTAAACCATTGATCAAATCAGTTTTTAGGAGAATGTGTGGTTCATGTTCACAGTTTGACAAAGAGATTGAGTGATACTTTAGATTTAAAAACCATAGGTTAAAAGCTAAAGATTTCATTACCATATATCTTTGTCCATGAGTGCAAATGAGGTTGAACTAGAGCAAACACTTCATGTGACAAATTTCTAGGCCTTGCCATGGCTTCTTTTCGCATGTTGGAGATTTCTTTGGTGTTTCCATGGATGAGTCTGTAAGAAGGGCCCTTGATCCCTTGCAAAGCCATCAGCTTCTGTATTTGAGTTGGCGTCCACCATAGTTTGTGAAATATCTTGAAGAAAGCTGCTAAGACGATGAAAAGACACACAAAGGTTGTAACTGTGGCTACTTGGTCTCCAAACCAACTCATGCTTCTTGTTGCTTTTCTCTTAAGTTGGCTCTATCTCTGAGTTCTGAATATTGATTTGCTCGTAGTTGATAAATTATTAAGTTTGATATACATAATATATTTTATATAGGTAATTCTTCTGAGCTCTATCAATAATTTTAACATAAAACAAGCTGGCTTGCACCTCAAACAAACGTCGTTAAACTCAAGTCCTATCCTATTAATGTTATATGCTATTTGGTGGTAAGGTAGATAGAAAAAATCTATCAGTATTCTATTGAAGTTGATGAGATAGGCATTAATAAGAGTAGGTTACATGCCGTTTTCCTGGTTGATCCGCTACTGACCACCACCCACCACCCACCACCATGGCCCGCCACCTCCACCTCCACCTCCACCTCTACACCACCTATATCACCACTACCACTACCACCACTGTGGGAGCATTTATTTCACTGGCCAATAAGAAAACGACTTATGGAAAAGAAATAGGGAGCTTTAGTAATATATCCAAAATATGAGCTGAAATTATAAAAAAAACCCTACATGAAATGCACTTTAGAAACATACGCAAAAATAATTTACTACATACAAAATGAGTGTTGAATTTCCTATAAATTACATGACTGACACTAACTAACTTAAAAGAAGCCAAATACAAAAAAACACAAAAATACCCAAAATAAGCCCAGTTCAGATTTTTTTTTTATAAAAAAAAAAACCAAACTTAAGTATTAAAAAAAACACGAAAACCAAACTTCAATAAAGAAGTCGATCAGCTCCCTTTTCCTTTTCATTTCCTAAGTTTTTTCTTTTAATTTTCTTGGTATCTGAGAGCGTTTACAGTCATTTAGTTGAAAATAGCATACACAGTGAAGTATAACCGAAGAACTTGAACGCAATATAGGAGAGAGTTATGGATATAGATGGTAGCTTTTTGGTATAACAAACTGTTTTCTTTGGCTTCTCATTATTATGGACCTCTTAAAACTCAGCCATTTCACTAGAGTTAAGAGTGTCCTGACACTCACTGGAGCAATTGCAATTATAGTTGTGCTATGGCACAGAAAATGCGTTTCATGGTCCTGTTATGCTGTTGGTGAGTGGTGAATGATTAATGGTGATCCTTGAGCTTGCAGGGGCAGAATACAACTTTAGTAATGATTCCTACTTGTAATCTCAACTAGTTTTCATGATTATAATGTATTGACACTTTGTGTTAAGCATTTCTCGATGTAAGTTGTGAAGAGTTTAACCATAGATAATCTCTTAACCGTCCCATCAACTAAGTGGAACTCACTGCCAGCGGTGTCAAATTTAGCAATACAAACTTACTGTGTAGGTTAGTGTTCTTCAGTTTCTTAATGACTCTGAAGGTCTCATCACAGTCTCATACATTGTCAGCATGACTTTGGAATAACTGAACAGAATTACAGAGTCTGTTAGACATTTATGTTTGCAGTACTATCTTGGAATTCGTTTTGCCTTTTTGTTAAAAAAGAATTACATCTATGCTGCAGTCCTCAAGGTATTCAGTGCCACCATCCTTACACAGCCCCTTGAAAGAGGAAGATGAAGTACCTGGAGAAGAACGCCAAGAAGACCACAGCAAAAGGAGCAAGATTTAGGGGAAGTCACTGCATCAATGGGAGTGATGGGTTTTGTAGGGGAACGACAGTATGAAGAATAGAAATGTGCATGAAAATTTAAAGGGATGAAGATGCCAATGATGGGAAAGGAGACATGTGCTGAAATCAATTGAATTTCAAGTGCTGTAATTTTGAAGATTAAGTCCAGTCTGGATTTACTTACGATCGAATATACGGACATTTTTCATCCCTTGTTGCTCAACCAACCTCATAAAATTGCTTTCAAGCCAGCCATTTATTTATCTATTTATGGCAAAAGTTCTCGGTTTAAAGGTGCAGCAATGAAAACGCCCATCTGTCAGGCAGAAATGATAGATATAAATAGCACCCTTTATTTGCATTTTTCCAATGTCACAGCATCCAGTTCTTATTCTACAGATAAAACAACCATGAAGTGAAATGACAAGGTTATTGACTGCAGTTCATTATAGTCTTCGTGTCTGCAAGGAAGCAAGAACAGGAAGCAACTCCTAACACAACAGAAAGCTGAGGTTCCATCTTCATAAGCAAGTGCAACATTTGTGGGCAGTTCAGAGTGAGTGTAGCATTACTTGAACTCCATGTTGTGGACGAACTGTAAGAAATTGAGATGGTGAGTGAGTATAAGCTGGGGAAAGAGTGAAGACATGGCGTTGCAAAATCATCGACAGAGCAATCTTTGCTTCTGTGGTTGCAAAGTCTAAGCCCACACAAATCCGAGGTCCCATTCCAAAGGGTAAGAATGCTGCTATATTCTCCTTTGTAGCTTTAACAACCCCTTCAGCAAACCGCTCTGGTTTGAAGAGCTGCACATCTTGTCCCCAGAGTTCAGAATCATAATGAAATGCTACAATTGGGATGAGCAATTCAAGGTTAGCCGGAAGAATGAGCCTTCCCAGTTTAACTTCCCTTTCAACTCTTCTTCTAACGACCGAAGCAACGGGTGGATATAACCTCAGGGACTCGTACATGATCATACTCATCTGCATATGCATGGAAATCAAAGTTAGAGAGAGCAAACAAATCAGGAGTTCAAACTTTAATTCAGTTCTTGACTTCCTTACAGTTTTTAGTTTCGCAATGCCTTTCGGGTTTGGAGTTTGCTTGCCAAATACTTGTAGGACCTCTTTTCTTGCTTCCTCTTGCCAATCTGTATGTAATGCCAGAAGAAAGACAGTCCATGCAAGAAAAGTAGCAGTGCTTTCATGTCCGGCCAAGTAAAATGTCTTGCATTCGTCAACCAAATCATCCAACGAAATCCTCTGGTTGTCATTAGTGTCATGATAAGCCTTTAAAAGTAATCCAAGAAAATCACTCCCTAAGCTCTCTTCTTCTCCAGGCATTACCTTCCTTTCTCTTTTCTTAACAATCTCTATAATGGTTTCGCATATTCTTTTCTCAAGCTTCTCCATTTCAATCTCATCGCTGGTTTTAACAAACCTACTGCAATATAAATTGAGTGAAAAAGTAAACATGAGATCAGAAATTTGAGATTTTGTTAAGAGGAAGTTACCTGAGGCCAGGAAATTTGGGTTTCAAAGCAGTTTTAAATGTTAAGGTGGATATCTTCAATAGCATCTCAAAAATGTCTTTCCCTTCTAAGTAGCTGCTTCCAAATGCTGTCCTGGAAATTACATCCGAAGTCAACAACCTAAATTCTTCAAACGCCTCAATCTCCTTGCCTTCATGATTTTCCCACCTTTCTAGCATCGTCTCAGCACTAGCTATCATTGCATGAATCTGACTCTAGTAAACCAACACCAACACCACTATCATGCAATTAGCAGATTTATGTTCAATTATTTCCCAATCTTCACTAAATGACCGTGTTATTGATTCATAGATAAATATTGACGCACACGCTGACACATCATTTGATGAATAATTTTTATTACTTTAGCGCTATAAGAATAACGAGTAATTACTATGAACTTACTTTTAAGCTCTCTCCATGGAAAGCGTGGTTGGCCAGCTTTCGCAATTTCGCCCATTTTTCACCTTCCTTTCGAGTTATAAGACCATTTCCTAATAGCTTCATCACAAAGGCTCTCGGGTTGGATTTTGGATAAGCTCTATGTTTGTTATTCAGTATCTCCTTGCACAACTCAGGATCCGTAATGACCAAAACAGGTTGAGGACCATCCCAGTGAAGAAAAGTCTTCCCTAATATTACAAAAAAGAGGACCAAATTTATCCATGGTTTAAGATCTAAAGAGAAATGTTATCTTGTCAGACTATGAATCCGGACCATTGATCAAGTCAGGTTTTAGGAGAATGCATAGTTCATGTTCGAAGTTTGACAAAGAGATTGAGTGATACTTTAGATTTAAAAACTACAGGTTAAAAGCTATAGATTTCACTACCGTATATCTTTGTCCATGAGTGCAAATGAGGTTGAACTAGAGCAAACACGTCATGTGACAAATTTCTAGGTCTTGCCATGGCTTCTTTTTGCATGTTGGAGATTTCTTTGGTGTTTCCAAGGATAAGTCTGTAAGAAGGGCCTTTGATCCCTTGCAAAGCCATCAGCTTCTGTATTTGAGTTGGCGTCCACCATAGTTTGTGAAATATCTTGAAGAAAGCTGCTAAGACGATGAAAAGACACACAAAGGTTGTTACTGTGGCTACTTGGTCTCCAAACCAACTCATGCTTCTTGTTGCTTTTCTCTTAATTTGGCTCTATCTCTGAGTTCTGAATTCTGATTTGCTCTTAGTTGATAAATTATCGAAAATTCTAATATGCTCTAGATTATCAATACATCAAAGCTTTCAACCGTTGGATTTAAAAGTTTTGATCTAATGGCTGAAAATAATTTGTGAAGAAAAATCACTAAAATCACCTGAAAAAACTGGATAACCTGCTGTAGTGGGTTTCTTTGCCTCCCACACGTGAAAGCTTGCATACAGAGATGAGCTTTCCTCTTCAACCTGGAGATGGCAAATCTACAGAGATGGGAAATCTTCCACATACCTCTTAAGTAAGTATACAAGGGAGCTTGGATGAAGTAAGCAATGTTCATTATACTGTTACTGTTAGCATATATAGTTGTCATCTTGTGGAACACAAGACAAAACACAAGACACTCCTTGTCTCATGGCACACTTGTTTCAAGGAAGACTTTCTTTCCTTGTCTTATGGAGTACTTTTCTTGAAGTGTGCAGTCCTTGTTTCCTGGAATGTTTCATGGAGGACTTTTGTATTATTGTAGGATATTACTTGTATAAATGTATGATAAGAAATAGAAACAAGTTAACGGGTTGAAATAAGAAAAATGAGCAGCTCTCATTCTCTCTACACTCTCCACTCTCTCTACTTAATATCCTCCCTATTTTCCACTTGTTCTCTTTATATTTTCCAGATTTCTAACATGGTATCAAAGCAGCGATCTTGTAATTGCTGACTCTTGTTCTGAATCTTTGCTACCTCCATGGGGGAAGATGTTTTTTCCCATGCTGGAAATAGCACCACCAACCCTTCTCAACCTACCTACCTAGAAGCATTGACGACACCGATCCCGACCCAGACACCGACCCCGACCCAGACACGGACCCCGACCCAGACAATGACCCGACCGACTAGCCTCACTTGGACGAGGTGTTGCCGCCGACCCGACCAACGGACCCCAATGATCCAGACCTCAACCCCGATTGACACTACACGATATGAAAAAGATCAAAAAAGATGTGAAGCTGCAAGTAGTGACTCTGGCTATGTATTTCATACTTCAGATGATAGAAATTCAACGGGCTGGATAATTGATTCCGGAGTAACCGATCATATGACATTTGATCCTGATGATTTTCTGCATACTAGCCAACTCAGACGAACTAGTATTGCCAATGCCAATGGAGTTACTTCTCCTGTGACAGGAGCTGGCACTGTGGCTCTCTCACCCTCTCTTTCATTATCTAATACTTTACTTGTTCCATCTCTATATCAAATAAGCTAATGTCAGCTAGTCAGATTACTGAACAATTGAATTGTTGTGTACTAATCTACCCGAGTTTTTATATACTTCAGGATATTCACACTAAAGAGATAATTGGTCGGGGTACTATGAGAGAGGGGCTATATTATGTGGAGGATCTCAGTACAGGCATGGCTCACAATGTGACACATACCTATGATATCAAACAAAGGCAAGTCTGGTTGTGGCACCGTCGATTGGGGCATCCATTCTTTGGATATATGAAGCATATTCTACCAAATTTATTATCAGATTTTTAGGACTCCGACTTCAAATGTGACACTTGCATTTTGGCTAAAAGTCACCGTGTGCCCTACCCGTTGAGTTCAAGTAAGAGTACTACTCCGTTTAAGTTAATTCACTCTGATGTTTGGGGGCCCTCACCTATAACTTCTCATTCTGGCTTCCGGTGGTTTGCGACGTTTGTGGATGACTGTACTCGGATGACATGGTTGTACTTGATGAAGAGTAAAAATGAAGTATTTACTATGTTTCAGTCTTTCCACAAACAAATTGAAACTCAATTCTTTACCAAGATCCGAGTTCTCCACTCTGACAATGGGGGCGAATATGTCAACCATGACTTCCAAACATACTTCTAGATGCACGGCATGATTCATGAGACGACTTGTTCTCAAACACCACAACAAAATGGGGTTGCGGAACGAAAAAACCGACATCCCCTTGAAACAGCTCGAACACTGCTGATTGGGGCTCATGTTCCCCGCAACCACTGGGATGATGCCATCATCACGACAGTTTATCTTCTCAATCGTATGCCTTCGCGAGTCTTGGACTTCCAGACTTCGCTCCAAACGCTTGCCAATTATGGGCCCCTGCCATCAATTTCGATGCTTCCACCACGAATCTTTGGTTGTGTGGCGTTCGTTCATCTCCACAAAAATCAACGTAGCAAACTTGATCCCTGTGCGCTCCGATGTGTTTTTATGGGATATGCTGCTTATCAAAAGGGATATCGGTGTTATCATCCCTCTATTCGTCGTACCTATGTCACCTTGGATGTCACTTTTATGGAGTTCGAGTTGTTCTTCCAGGACCCGATGTCCAACTCATCGCTTCAGGGGGAGATACAGAGAGAAGCGCAGACTTGGAGCTCTCTCGAAAATCTGGAAATTCAAGACTGGAGCAAAACGACAGGTCGCATAGACCACAATTACACTTATTATTTTTTAGGCCCATTTCGGCCCGGCCCGTTGGGCTTAGCCCGGCCCGGCCCGATGGGCTTTTTCAAGCCCGACTCATGAGATGGGCTTGGGCTTTGAATTTT